ATGCACCACTGACCCGTATATATAAATAACCGAGGAAAAAAACAGCACGCGTGGCCTGGCGATTGCGTCTTGTATGAAACAGACTGTCGCCTCTAAGTGTTGGCTTCAATATTCACGTTTTTCCCATGATCTCAAATCTTCTCATGTCCCATCACTTCCCAGCTGTATTTCGTCTTGATGGATTGTTTTACTTCTTTTTCAGATTTATCATTTTCACAGTATTTTTGCGACTGTCAACTTGAGGCTTTAAAATTTGTTTTCACTTTTTTTTTTTACAATCTCTTCATTTTCTACCAATTTTACTTCTCTGAAAATTGGAAATAATAATAATAATAATAATAATAATAATAATAATAAATGCTATTATTCCAAACCAGGTACTCATGGCTTCTGGCGTTAACTATTCTTGATTAAGGTTGTTAACATGTACATTCTTGATGAATTAAGATGAGTTACAGTCAATATCCTGTTCCGTACTACAGATTTGATTGTTACTTGTTAGTTGTGTCGACTTAACTAACTCTATGAATTTCTGTTTACGAATATGAGTAGTAGTGTTTGTGTGTGTATGGGGGGGGGGAATCATGGCTAGATGTCGAAAGTGTTGATGCTTTGGACATACCCCCTTAGAAGCTGGCGGAGTGTGCATCTCTATTCATGGGCAGGAGTAGAAAGGATGTATCGTAGTCGGGTATTTTCTAAGTTTAAAGGCTAAGACTTGCAAGATGACTTGTGACTCAAATATAGAATACTTGGAAACACACTCACTCACGCGATCTGTAGGCATTTCTCATTTGAAGCCTTTGCAACGTTATTCTCTGCTTTTATCGAAGCTCTTTATCATATCAAGCATATCTGGCTGTAATATATGTGCCTGATATACCTATAGTGGTATACGACTTCGGGGTTAAAATGAACAGTTGGTTTATCTGCACTAAGAAGATTAATGGAGGCAGATAAAGACGAAGAAACACACGAGCTATTTTTAACTAGATAAGGAATATATTTACAAATTTACACGACTGAAATTGTGTCAGTAGCTCATTTCAGGAAAATAAATTACAAAGTTTTAAAAATCCTAGTTTCAATGAATTGTCACGAAGAGAAAATGTTCATTCAACAGATTAAATCTTCTGACACAAAATAAAATTCAAAAGTGTTTAAAACAAATTAAGATAATTCGTTTTTCACATGAGGTTTATATAGTTGCATACATTCAAAAGGAGATGAAGAGCGATAGTTTGAAATACGTAGTTTTCTTGAATTGTTGAATTAAAATTCTTTCAAGTGCCAAGAACTTCGTTAAGGCTGATAATATAATTAGTCTGTGGCGAAAATTTGAACACTGGACACTTGAACAGAAACGCGTGAATGAAACTTTTCACATGAATTTAGACTCTCTTTTCTCATAGATTTAATTTTTCTCTTTATTTTATATCAAAAAGGATTTCGCATAGGATCACTATTTTCTTTTCTTTCTTTTTCTAGGCTCAATGGTTAATTCCTGTGAAAACAAAATTTTCATTGGTCCAAAGAAAATTTAACATAGGATTGCGAATTTCTTTCCGTCTTTTTCCTCAGCTCGCCCGAATTTGAATGGAGTGAATAAAGGAAATTATTATTATTTCGTACTCGCCACATACCTTTATCAAACTGGGTGTCATGATGTATATAGTAGCTTTGTGTATTAGTACCTGAGCTTTATTTTGTTGGCGTGCTGTCTTTTCACTCAATGTAATAATAATAGTAATAAAGTAGATGGTAGCAGTAGTAATAGTTATAGCGATATGTTATATCGTATTTATCTAGATACCTTCGCTTTTTACCTGAAAAAAAAAAACAGCATAGCATGGCGAAAAAAGGCCACAAAATCGATAATAACTTTATTGTCAAAATGTTTATGCTATTATTAAGAGGAAAGATCAAAGTACCTTTTTACTATTTTAAAAAAAAATTTAATCCTTTCTAGCACGTTCGAAATTTCGGTTAAAAATCTCGTTTTTATTTGCGTCAGTGATCTGCCAAAGGTTATTATAGGTGTTTTAGCGCCTTTTTTCCGATAAAAAAAGCACATTGATTTGGAAATTCTTGCAAAAATCATATAATTTTCGGATTTTAATGAATCTTTCAGGACCTATTCACAAATGAGTGAAATTATTTTTTAATATTTCTTTTAGAAAATTTTGGTAAAATATTTGTTTACATATGCTACCCCCATTACCTCCACTCAATTTCATCTAAATTGAGTAAAATCCACCCTTTGGCCCATCCATTAGGTCCATTAGATGTCACTCGAGATTTTTCCCTGATAATTACACTAGGAGAGCCATGTATTTCTCAGCCTAAATTTAACGCTTTAAAATATTTGCTTCATCGTGAAGAGTTTCCTAGGAAATTAATTTACAGAGCCCAATTCACAAACTATTTTACACCTTTTGTCCTTCACGAATCCCTCAATTCCAGCCTTTTCAAAGATCTGAGCAGTGGTCAAAAGTAGTTGTTTCACTATAACACGCTTTATTTTACGTCCATCTCGAGGAAGGAAGGAAGTTATGTATATATATATATATATATATATATATATATATATATATATATATATATATATATATATATTCACACACGTATGCGTGCATATATTTTTTCTGTTTATACGCTATTTTTATAGATACAATTTATTTAATTAAATGCTTTGTTTTTAATGAAACAGAATTAATTACATTTATCGGCCTGAATGTTCGAAAAATATTTTCGTAGAAAATATGCGTTCTCCGACAGGAATCAAACCTGTATTCCTATAGGTTTGATTCCTGTCGGAGAACGCATATTTTCTACGAAAATATCATGAATATTCAGGCCAGTAAATGTAATTAATACTGTTTAATTAAAAACAGAGCATTTACTTAAATAAATTGAATCTATAAAAATAACGTCTATAAAGAAAAAAATATATTAAATAACTGTCGATCCATTTTATATATATATATATATATATATATATATATATATATATATATATATATATATATATGCACATATATGAGTGAATATATATATATACATATATGTGAAATATATATATATATAAATGTGTTTTTTGTGTGTATATATATATTTATATATACGTGTGTGTGAATATAATTTATGCACACAGACGTGTGTGAATATGTATAATCATGAGTATATGTATATTATATATTATAGTCATGTATATATACATACGTTCATATATATAAATATATATATATATATACCGCGCACATGAACCCTATATATATGCAAATATATATATATATATATATATATATATATATATATATATATATATGTGTGTGTGTGTGTGTACATACGCATAATACTGAATATTCACACCTATTCATTTCCTGCATTAATCTTATTTAATACCTTTTGTCTGAAAAAATGTCGAGATTGTTTCATTTTTTCATAATCCAATTATTCAGTCACCCCATTGAAATATAGAAATAATTCCATTATATAGCTGATAAAAAATTACAATAAAATGATGTTGGTATCAATTTTAAAAGTTAGAGCATTAGTTCGTGGTTGTGAGGTCAGGTTTCCGTCCAAATATCAGTCCACAATCGGATGTTGATTTTTTCCTCTTCACCGAGTGCTACATCTTTTTTTTAACAGTTGAATTATCCACTCGTTTTTTTTATTTTAAAAGTTGAGTATACTTGGTTGTCGAGAAGTTTACTATAGTTAAATGAAATATTGTGAAAATCATACCTTAGTCCAGTGACAAGATTTCAAGTGTCGATTTTCAGAAATAAGTCTTCTATCTTTGAAAGCTGCCTTGAACAGTAGTATATTCATCTAATTGTAATGTTTTTCTGTGTATATGTTTGTGTTTAAAAGAAATGGCATCAGGAAAACATTTTTACAGGGGGGATGCTACTAGTACGCAGGGAGTGAAAGTGAAAGAGAACACTGAGAATAGGGAGGATTGAAGAAAGGGGTTCAATATAGCGACTGATATTGCATTTAAATTCTTGAAGATTGTAGTTATCAGGGAAGCAAGTAAACGGAAAGGATTTCCACAAGCAGGAAGTGCGAGAAAAGAAACTATTGAAGTAGAAGTGGCAGTTGGATTTAGCAATTTAAACAATAAAATGGTGGGACCTAAATGCTAATCTAGTAAATCCATGTAGTAAGGGTACCAGGAAAAAATGGTCAGAGTAGTTGCCATGAAAATATTTGTAGAAAAGACAGAGGGAAGCCACGTCATGTCGTTAAGAAAGTTACTAAAGGGGAGATGTCTGGTCAGGATCGATTATATTACAGCTCCTTCTTTGGATTTTGTCAAGAATGTCGAGTTGTACATCAAGAACCAGATACGGCAACAGTATTCAATGCACAGACGAATGGTAGATTTATGAATGTACATGATAGATTCTGACAAGAAAAATTTTCTAGCGCGACATAGTGAACCAATTTTCTGTGCAGCAGGCGTAGCAATTGATTCGATGTAGTCGTTTCACTTCAAGTCAGTGCAGAAGGCTCAGTGTGTTGGTCTCATGGAGTCTAGCACCAGCCATGCTTATGATAGGCAGAAAAGGTTCTCTTTGATAGTTAAATTAAAAGCAGTTTTTTTGGAAGTATTAAAATTTACAAATCATTTCTTGCCCCAGTTAACCACTGTCTGGAGGTCCTTTTCAAGAGCAGCAGCCAGGTTTACTTTGTCAGCTCTGGCAGATTTGCTATTGAGACAGGAGTAAATGGTAGTGTTATATTTTTTCTATGAACATAAATACAGATTTCTCGATAAACTTCTATATTTGCCTTAATGAAGTTCCTCAAGGAATGAAATGCATTTAAAAAATAATCTTCCTCTCGTCCTTCCTTTTAATATTATCTTTGCAGATATATTCATTTATATCTTTATTTTTGCGCACACAATGGCACCAATTTTATAAATAAGACTTTCCATTAATAAAACGATTATTTGTCAGAAGAAGTTCCGTCTCGGAACAGCGTCTTACGACCGCACCACATTGAAACATTAGTTCCTGTACGATCACCAAAGTTAAGCAATGTCGTGTCTGGTCAATACTTAGATGGGTGACCGCTTGGAAATACCTAGATGCTGTAAGCTTGGATGTGCAAGTGGTGTAATGGATAATGGACAGGAATTGGATCGGAGGAGTGTCGAATTCCAGTTGGGTTCGTTTTTTTTTCATTTACGCGCAAATATTCCTAGGAAAAGTATGAATCTCCCTCTTTTACCCCAACTATGGGTTAATTATATATTATTATCTCTCCCCCACCAAAAAAATTGCTACAATCTAAAATATTTTCTAGATTTAAAGTGTTGATAAAGCTGAAAAAAAAAAAAACAAAAAAAAAAAAAAACAACAAAAAAAGACGAATCAATCAGAATCAATCTCCTCAGAATGAAATGGGTCACCAAACAGTTTTCCGTCTTGACATCATGTTAACCATTTTTATACATTTTTATATCTTATATATCTTGGACAGTTTTTACACACTTTTTGTTCAGAAAAGAAAACACTTGTACGAACACAAGAAAAACTAAATAAAAAGCTTAATCACAGTACTTTTTAGTCGTCTTTAACAAAACGTGTATAAAAGAGGAATTGCTGCCTAAATACACAATTACCAGACTACACGACCCGGTAGCCAACAATGAAAGTAACACGACAAAATTCAGAAAACCTCGTCTTACGCCAAATAAAAACAGCTAAAAATGACATCCAACATTTAAATAATGAAATCCACAAACATAACGAGGTACTAAAAAACACTTTGACTGAACCCGAATATAAAGAAGCACTGTACCACCAGAACCTTAGCATTAATGAACACCAAATTACACACAGGCAAATAATTATAAAAAAAAAGCTATGTAAACTATACGAAGGAAATATGCAACCCTATAGCAGCGATAAATATATAAACCTGTCTTGTTATAAATTAACAGATGACCAAAAAGAATTCTTAAATTTAGGGACAAACTGCCATCTTCATCTTAAATTTGACCTCCTTACAAAGAAGACCAATATTGAAATTCTACACCAATCACTATCCCAACTCGAGACGCGTGGAGACATAGCAATTCACTCAGACCTAAGAGATCTCCTAAAAGACCGCTCTCCTCGCAACAACTATAATATTATCTTAACAACAAAACTAACAATTACTGCAAAAGAGCTAAAAACAATTGCAAGATTTTCATCAGACGAGCCGACAAAGCTAACACATGTAATTTTAGATAAAGCCGATTACCATAAAACATTACAAAACATCATTAATGATCGATGAGAATTCACCAAATTAAGCAGAAATCCTATAGGGACCCAAAAAAGATCTGTCAATAAACTGATAACATCAATGTTGGTGCCCTGAAAATCCCCCAAATCATCGGAAAATACCAACAAGGATACTTATACGGAAATATAAAAAATACACAAAACCGGATACCGCTACGAGCAATCGGATCCCAAACCCTATCTATGAGTTATCAAAATTCCTTAATGACATAATTACCCCATATCTACATACGAATTATAGAATCACATCAACCCACGAATTGCTTCAAATTCTAAAAAGTATAAAACCAACCCAAAGTATTTCAGCTTCACACGACATTGAAAATTTATTCACAAACGTCCCCGTTGATCAAACTATTGACATAATCCTTAACCACGTGTACAGAAATAATTCCATTTCACATCCATCTATCAAAACAACTATCCTCAAAGAATTATTATAGTATTTAACGAAACATGTATAGAAGACGGATTCTTACGTAAATACACAATATATATATATATATATATATATATATATATATATATATATATATATATATATATATATATATATATTTATATATATATATATATATATATATATATATATATATATATATATATATATATATATATATATGAAGGTTTTGGTAAATAATTTAGACATATCATGTCTTTTTATCATATTATTTTGGTTGCATTCATTTGAAAGAATCACAATAATAAAATACATTAATAAAAATAAGATCATATAAATTCCATTAGATGATACTGTTACTTCTAGGTACCCTTCTCAGTTGAAATTGAAAAATTAAATAAACTTCTCCACACTTATTTCGCAAAAGTAAAGGCCTTAACAGCGGAGAACAATGCTTAACTCAAATAACGCAACTTAATTGTGTTCTAGTTGGTCTTCCGTACTTTATAATTAGAGCCCGATTATAAACACAAAATTACATTTCTTAATTACTGTGAGTCTTCTGATTAATCAAAACGTTACAATTTATAACGCACTAAGAAAAGATCTATCTCATAAGGACACTTACAAAAGTAGATGCGGCTTTTAACTAATTTTATAATGTTTTAACAACTTAAATGTAAAAATCTATTATAATTAAAAATAACAAATAATTGTATTAAAAATTCATTTTTCATCGAAACTTTTTTTGCTTTCAGAAAATATTGTTCATATTCATAAAAACAACTAAAAGCAATTGAAATTAAATAATATCTTTGTTTTATTGAGTTTTGTATGTTACAATTCAGAGCTGATTTTCAGGTAGGGGTACAATTAAAAAATGATTTGCATTCCCCAAAGCTTTGTGTTTTCAACTATTGTAATTACTAAAGTGGACTCGATCGAATTTCTAGAGTTTTTATATAATTAGTTATGTGGGGGTAATAAATATATAAAAAAACTGCCTTGACTTTAATAAAAGAAAACATATTTATAATAATTTCGATCATCTGTGAATAGTTTGTGAAAGATTCATTGACATCCGATATTTATTTTTATTTTTGCAAGATTTTCCAAATTAATGTGTGCCATACAAAAAAACAAAACAAAAAAAACAAACAAAAAAAAAACAAACAAAAAAAAAAACAAAAAAAACGTGTTAAAAATTGTATATGTTATTTTACTAGTTTCTGTGATACAAAGATAAACAAGGTTTTTTAAATGAATAATTCAGAATGTTCTAAAATGAAGGAAAAATTTTTTTTTAAATAATTAAAATAAACTTTGATCTTTCCTCTTAATAATAACATAAACATTTAGACGATATAATTTTGTTTTCGGAAAATTTGGTGTCTTTTTCATAATGCTATGTTTCTTTTTTTAGCGATCTCGTGGAGGTACCTATATTACCAGCATGATTAAAGGGCTGTCAAAACATAGTTATTTTTTATGTTCAGAGATGCGGGCTTTAAGATTCCTAAATACAAGTGAAACATGTTAGATTTATAAAGTTTCCTATTTGATCCTTATCCTATCACACATATATATATATATATATATATATATATATATATATATATATGATTTTTATTTTATTAATCCGACATAGTTTAATTTATTGGTTAAATGTTATTTTTTAATGGATATCCATATTTGAGTAGATGCTCTGTTTGTATTTATTTATTAAACATTATATTTATTTACATCTACCAGAGGGCGCATATTTTTTAACAAAATTTCTCGAATATTCAAGACGGTGGATGGAAATAAATAAATATACTGTTTAATAAATAAAAACAGACCATCTACTCAAATACAGGTATCCATTAGAAATAATGTTTAAGTAATAAATTAATATATATATATATATATATATATATATATATATAGGAAATCGATATACAAATTTTATATATAAAGAACAATTTTGTGTAAATCTATGAGAAAGAGGAAAAAACTTCCCTGTGGAGCATTTAACGTGCTTTATTCGCTAGACCCTCCACAGTAAATTTATATACAGGTTCTTACAATATTTAACCTTTATTGATAGATTTATTATTACAATGTTTGATATTTAATGACAAAAGTGATAAAAACATAATAAAAAAGAAACTAATTGAAATCGACAAGACTATACACCAAAAACATATTTTAAAAAAAAATTAAATTTAAAATTCTTAGCTCCCCTTATTAGTGCGCATGTGTAGTCGCATCAAACTGAAACATCACTTTAGTCCGATGAAGTCGTAAAAGACGAAACGCGTTGAACGAAAACTTTTTTCACTGTCATAGATTTTTCCAACATTTATCCGTGAATATATTTAGCTGGACACGTATATTTATGTATGAGTAAAAGAACCGCTTAAATTCGTAGAAATACCATGCGACTACTAAAAAAATTGTATCTCAGATCTGGCTAACGGTCATTATTTCCGAAGAGAAATTTTAAGAAATAATGACATTTCTATCAATGTTACACAGGTCAGAGAGACGCTTGATTCATGTGTTTCGCCAAGGGCATTGCATAAGCAAAAAAATTAGTACTAGGTAATTTCTTGTCTGCTTCCGTTAACTATTGTTAATGTGCTACTGACGAGATATTTTGTCAAGATATCCAGCGATGTGACACAGATCAGAGAGAAGCATAATTCGTGCATTATTCAAGGTTTTTGATACAAAGTGAATTTACACTGCTCAAGTTAAAATTCGGTTTCAGTTCGCAAAATTCTTTTTATTAGGTAAAATATAAATGTATCAACTTTCGCATAAATGCAAAATGGCGAGTATCATTCTCGGTGTTCAGCTTTTTCATTGCATTTGGACCCAACTGACTGAATCAAGTGCAAATTATTTCAATGGAAATAATAAAATAATGGAAAACAGTCGGTTAATATAGATTATTAAGAATAAGTAAATAAATGTGATGATTTATCATTATTTACAGTCGGATTAATATTTTAATCTTTGTTGCTATTATCATAACGTTTCAGTCGTTGTGCCATCTGGCCTTCTTCAGGTTCTGTCGATCCAGGTAACCTCCGGGCAATTTTTGAACTGAACACTACACGTGTGAAATGTCTCAAGATATCTTAGTTTGTTATTTTTCACGTCTGTTCATTTATTTCTAGCACTGTTTATACTTAGTCTGGGTCCGTACTACCTGCCCAAAAGATTGAATTTCCAATACACCACATCAATATGCCACTAAATCCATGAAATTCATGAACCAATGTTTTAATCATCTTGGCTATTATCTTGTGGGATAATTCTAGATCTAAGAACATCGTTTACCCCCCCCCCCTTTTTAGTATTGCTCAATCATTTCTCTCCATTAGACAGAAGAACAAGATCAATTTATCTTAACTGAACCCGTAGTAAAATTTGGTAAAATTAAGAATACGTTAGTTTTTATTATATTTATTTTGCTGAATGTTTATATGAATAGATTATAAATAGAGCCTAAAGTATTCCGATTCTCAACAGGTGAGTGTTCTTAGTTTGATCTTTATTGGCCGATTTCTATCAGACAAAGTTCAGCTTACTAAATGACAGTTTTTTTTTTGTATGGGACTATGTATGAAAAATCATGTAACCTATTATTTTTAATCATTTCACCCGAAGTAAAGCAATAAAGCCACTAAGACGCAAGAGGATACTGAATGTGAGATAATATGAGAAAAAGAAAATATTACTCAGGAAAAGAGAACAATAAAAGAACAGGAATAAAAAAACAAAAACAGAAGATAACGATTGACATTGCATTTAAATTTTTGACGATCAACGTTGACTGGAAAGCAAGAAGCCGGAAAAGTGTTCCATAAGCAAGAAGTGTTAGAGAAGAAACTGTTAGTATAGAACTTACGGTTCAATCTAGATATTTCAGCTGTAACAGAATGAGACCTTTTCGCTAATCGAGTACTGTGCTTAAATTCATAAAGTCATGATACCAAAAAGGAAAGCTCATCAGAACAATCATCATGAAAGTATTTATAGAAAAGGCACAATGAAGCCACGTTACGGTGATTAAAAAGTAACTGAAACAAAAATGCCAGGTTAGGACAAATAACATTGCAGATTCTTCTTTGTATTTTATCAAGAATATTTAAATGCATAGCAGAAGTACCAGACTAGATGTTACAGTAATATTCAATGCATGGACGAATGGTAGACTTATAAATTTAAGTACCTTTCTCAGTAGGTATCTAGTTAATCAAAAAAAAAAAGACTTTAGCGACCAATTTTGTTACACATTGTATTACTTTAATTTATCTCACTCTCAATTTAAATTTTGGGAGTTGGTGAACCTTTCCGAAAATGGTCGATCTCTGTCTTATCGATAAATATTTATGATTTTTAGATGGTGCTAATTATTAAAAGATTTATCATTTTGAGTTCTATGCAAACTTCTAATTCATTTAATTAAAAATAAGGTTTGTTAATAAGTTGCCTTTAACTTATACGAACAGAGGATTGCGTCGTGGGATTGATGCATTGTAATTCGTGCTTATTTTTTTTATTTTGAGAATAAATTGCAAATAGCTGGGTAGGGTGCAAACACATAGTTTTCAGTGCAAAATAATTTCTGCTTATAAGGAAAAGAAAATCTCACACTTTACATGTCTTTGTTGGATTGAATGTTAAATTTAATTTGCTCTCCGGGCAGATATGTATTTGATCATACTTTTTTGATACACACTTTTCTCGAGGAGAGACTATGAAATTAATTAAAAATTCCACCATAATTTGCCCTGGAGCGGTTCTGTTCAGGTATAGTTCCGAAAGAAATCCTATCACCATTCTCATCATTTTTTGAGTAAAAAATATTACACTCACTCACGTACATATTTCGATAAAATAATCATTGAAAAAAATTGATTTTGATGAGAGGAAAAAATGACATAATATCTGGAGATTCGATTCTAACTGACCGAACATCATGTGAAAAAAATTGAATTAAAATCCAAAAAGGCTATTTGGTAGTAGTTCTTTCTCTTTCATGTGTCATGTTCCCGTTTACGACTCTCTACAACTTCCTATCCTTGGTATCTCTAAGTAATGTTTATCTTCTTATATAACTGTTCTGCCATCCATTGGAACAAATTCATTAGGTAGGTTATTTTTAGTGTCTCTCCGTTCATACGGCGTTCAGTATGTCTTGTAAGTGACAAATTCTCCTAGCCTTCCTTCTAAATTATGTAAGGTTGGAATACCGTTAAACAAAACAAACAAACTAAATAATGTGTCCCAGAGATATGAACCGTCTCTTTCTGATGTTAAGTATAAGTGTCCTTCTTGTTTCCATTTTCATTTAAATTTCTTTGTTGATCATAGACTCCGCCCATGATTTTCTCAGTGGCCTTCTGTAGAACCACACCTCTGTTGGCTTAGGCCTCCTCTTCATCTCTGAAGAAATTGTCCAGCATTCATTGCCATACAGGAAGTGTTGATATTAAATAGTTTAGTAGTCTTTTTGTTGTTTCTAATGGAAATTTCCTGTTTCTTAATATTAAGTTGAATCATAAATAATTTCCGTTTTGTTTATGAACTTGATTGGTTAAAAAAATTTACAAGTAATTCCCAAAAAACGGAATTTACTTATGACAGCCTAATACTTTGTTTAGCTTTTGGAAGTTATCTTTCGCTATTGAAGTGCATCATAGGATTTCTGTGTCACATTTTCCGTCTACTGTTATAACACTTCCCAAGTAATTGAATTCCTGTACTTGCTTGATTTAAACATTTGTAATTCGTAAGTCACATTTTGGGATGTCTCTTGCAAACGACCAAACATTGTGTTTTGTTACAGTTGATGGTTAAGTCCTCCTTTTCCTTGACTACTTTATCTAGGAATTCCTGACGTTCTGCTGCCATATCCGGTCTGGAGCAGGCCAGTCTTCACTCTCCTGTTTTCATAGCGTTCAAAAGCATCTACGTAACCTTGTGGGGGGCGGATGAATTGTTATCCACCTTACAAAGCCTTGCTCAGAAACGAAGCGTTGCAAGCCTCTTGCTCCAGCTAAGACCAGCCACGTCGTGTAAACTGAGGCGAACCACCCACATCCCCTTCGTATTCCATAACTAAGGAGTAAGTTAGACTCGGATAGCTTCTCCCCAAAACCTGCTACTTTGTGGAACAGAATCCCAGGAGGATACTTTCTCGGCCATTAAAATCTTAACCTCTTCGTCTAGGATTAACTGTTATCTTTCACACATATCATCATAATCTACGCTTTTATTCTAACCACACACCTTAAGTAACCATTTCGATGGAGTATCCCTCGGGCTTTGTGTAAGAGGAACATTAGTAAAAAAACAAAGAAAAAAATAGTTAAAATATCCATCAAGAATAATGAATGATGAGGCAAGCATTCAGAATATAAAATCACTCGATTTACTTCATGGCTAAGTTAAGTAAATCTCATCGGTACCAGAGACTGATGCCTAGACCCTTCTAAAAGGCAGTTTTTAATTACTGATTCTTTAAAAAGTCGGAATGTTCCTCATACTTCGAAGACTGGCCTTACATAATCTTGTATTTTAATAAAGCTAAATAAATACAGTGACTATGTTTATGAGTGCTTCACCGCGTAGATCAAGTGTGAGCAAGCCAGTGTCACAGATGATTATTACTATAGTGGTCTTGATCCTCGTAAATGCTCCATGCTTAACGGACGTGATGCAGACTAAACTAAATTTACTAATTGACTTCATACGATTTCTTTACTTTTGAGGAGACGACCAAAATCTGAACAGAGAATTGTTTACTCAACATTATTTATCCATAGCGCTAAGAAGATTAATGCTCTACGCGTTCATGCACTTGCTAGAAGATTGAAGTGATCCATCTATCTCTCTACATCAGACTTTTGAAGGTTATTTAAAGACAGAAAATATCTTTCGACTGTAAGGATTTTTGGGGGATAATAATGTTTTACTGAAGCATGTATTACTAATTAACCCATAGGGATTGAGACACGGCTCTCTCCGATTTCCAATTCCGGGCCGTTATCCATTACACCCACTGCATATCCAAGCTTACAGCACCTGGTATCCTCAAGCGGTCACTCATCTAGGTACTGACCAGGCTCGACATTGCTTAAATGGTGATCGTACGAGAACCGGTGTTTCAACGTGATATGGCAAAAGGTTAATGTGTGCTGTAAGAACTTCATAATGCTGCAATAATGTACAAGACTTGTTTATTTCAACCGACAAAGTCTGTTTAATATTTTATTGTAATTTTCCAGTTTTCGAATAAACGGATTGACATTCAAATGTGGAAAAGCTGTTCAAAGTCCATATTATTAACTGAGTGTTGTCAGTATAATAAACAAGATTTTGGGAACGCTACAATTCAATTCCTTGTATTTAACTGCACTACTAAAGAATGTATGAATGTGTTATTATTTTGTATATCAATATTTTATACATATTTCAATAATAATATCTGTTGGCTACATATTGGAATTTTGTTTTTTTGTTTTTGCTTGTTGGAAGGGAATGCTACAATTCAAATTCAAATATATGCATATCATATAAGTGACATCACATGTAGAACTATTTCAGATCTTGACTGTACCGAAAAATATCTGTACTTTATACGTATATTATTACTATTTTATATCCATATTAATTATTTTAGGTATGCTTTAAAATACTGTCTCTCCCGATGAAATATATTTTACTTAAAGCGGGTTCTTTAATAATGGCGCCAAGTATGTTGAGTTTTCCTTGCAGTGAGTGCTTTATAGTATTTGGATATTATCTAGCAATGAGTTAATATTTGATTTTGTAATGAAATGATCCATATATACACGAATTTTCTCTTTCTCTCTCTCTCTCTCTCTCTCTCTCTATATATATATATATATATATATATATATATATAAATATATATAAATGTGTGTGTATAATATGATAAAATATAGCTTTAAGGTATGCTATATTTATAGGTAAAAGTGCGTATGCATATATAAAAGTGGGCACATAGTTGACGAAGTTTTAGAAAGAATGTAAGCAAAAAGACACCTATACGTAACATCAGAAAGAGACATTTGAAATTTCTAGGAAAGAGGGTTTGGAAAATTTGACACTCACAGGGCACGTTGAAGGCTAGAGACACAGTGGAAATCAGCGTATGATCTACCTAACGAGTTTAAATGGGTGACAGAACGGGATTTAGGAGAGATAACAAAAAGACAAAATTTAGTAAGAGCTACAAGGACAGGTAATTGTGGAGAGTCATGATCGCCAAAAGGAATGAAGTGGCATGGCACATGGAAGAAGAATAAACATTTAGTCTACTTTCCACTACAAAAAATAAAATAACAATAAAAAACAATATCGAGGAGAGTGACTCATAGCTATAAACAGAGTGAACATATTGACAGTGCATGGTGACTGGAAGTTTCACGCCTGATGACATAATAACCGCTTAAGGAGTGAAACTTTCAGTCTCGATGTAAGGTTGATCCTTATGTCCTGACTATTTAAATGCGCGCGAAACACACACACACACACACACACACACACACACACACACACACACACATATATATATATATATATATATATATATATATATAGGGAGAGAGAGAGAGATAGTGAGAGATACATTTTTGTTTGTTTTTCTTTTCTGTAAAACTTCATACATCAATATATATATATATATATATATATATATATATATATATATATATATATATATATAATATTTTACTCTTACAAAATTATTTTATTCTCCAATTTTTCATACATCAATATATATATATATATATATATATATATATATATATATATATATATATATATATAATATTTTTACTCTTACAAAATTATTTTATTCTCCAATTTCTCCCTTCAGTTTGCATGTCTTTCATGGACTTCATTACTTGTAATAACATTGTCACAAGAATCGATAAATAGCCAACCAATAATTACGATATTCTGATCTTCACAAGCAAATAACAATCCTCTGACCACCTTTATAATCATGAAGCCGTGCCGCACGGACATCCACTACAAAATCGAAGGTCCCATCTAAAAAAACAAACGAACATCCAGAATTATTTTCTGAAGACTGGGCATTTTTTCGTACCTTCGGGCGCAGAGCATGTTATATGATTTTCTAGTTTCCTTAGCTTTCCTTAGCTGGCAACTGTCGAAGGAACGTGGCTTGTAAGACATGATTGTAAGACGGGCCACTGCCATTCAATGGTAATTATCTTCGCCCAAGCAGGAATCGGGACTTCGTAGCGGAAGTCTGAAAAATTACATTTGATATCACACGGCTGGCAACTTTTCATCGCCTTAAGCATCGTCAAAGTGCGGGAAACTGTGTATTATGTGCACGGAATAGGGAGCGCGTGTCTGTGAATAGACGTGCGTTTCTGTGTGTGAGTACATGTTTGTGCATAAAAGTATCTATCTATCTATCTATCTATCTATCTATCTATCTATCTCATCTACACACTCTCTCTATATATATACATACATACATATATATATATATATATATATATATATATATATATATATATATATTCCTATGCATCTATCTATCTATCTATCTATCTATCTATCTATCTATCTATCTATCTATCTATCTCAGTTCATTCTTCACTCTCTATTTTTCTTTTTACCTCTCTCTCTCTCTCTCTCTCTCTCTCTATATATATATATATATATATATATATATATATATATAACTCCATATCTATCTATCTATCTATCTATCTATCTATCTATCTATCTATCTATTCGCATGTATTAATGTATGTGTACACAGTTCTAAAATTAAGTGTATGCGTACCCCAGGGAAGATCAGATGCGTGAGAAACTCCCAAGGTTCTTTTTCTTTCATTTCTTATGGCTGAAACACTGTACAATTTTTATTTTAATAAAAATTATTTTTGAAAATTTTGCACACATTTAGTATATATATATGCTTCCGAGTCTTCGACTATAAATTTTTAAAGCAGGCGAAACCTTCCAATATTGGCGCAACCTAATCTTCCTACTCCTGCATTCTCGCACATTTACCCACTATGTTTAGAAAGCACGTGTCTTTTTGTGTGTGTGTTCATGTGTAACTCGGTATTTCACTGTATGCATGTAGTGCGTGTGTCTGTGCGTGCGTGTGCATTTTATGTAGACGGGCTTACGTGTCTACCTAAATGCCGTTAGATTCTTTATGTGTCTGTGTGTTTAAGCGACTATGAGTGAAAAGCGTCGTTGGCATGCATAATTTTAAGATGATCACGAAAGCATATACGTCACGACACTGATAGATTGAGGCTGTGATGATCAAACTGCCTGCAGTCATGGTCCCCAAGATGAAGAGCTCCAAGGATTATAGGGGAACGGGATTGGTGGGTTATAGAAACAGAAAAAAAAAAGAAATAAAAAGGTAAAGAGAAATTCGCCTTTACTTCTAGTGCTTAGTGTAAGACAAGAAATAAACCAAAGAAGCCGATGAACGAAAAAAAGGATGAATGATTTCCAGCAAGAGGTTGTAAATTGAAGAAGGAAGTCCAAAGAGAAGAAGAAGAAAAAAAACAATTGAAAAAAGAGAAGAGAACAAAAAGAAACATAGGGACGAGAAGAATACATATACCGAGTCTGAAGAATTTTGGTGTCTTTGATAAAATATAAGAAATAAAATGGCAAAACAAAGAAAAAAAAAAAAAAAAAAAACTGTGGCTTATGACACTTGGCATGGGGTAGATTAACGCCATGACAGGGCCTAATTTGCGTGCACTCGAAAAGCCAAAAAATCTAAGAAAAAAGTGATAAAAGCATTGAATTAATAAATGAAATGGAAAAAAAAGACTATCAGTAGAATTCAAAGAGAATCAAAGATAGAAAATCTAGAAATATATACTTTCTTATGAATCTGGAAACATAAACTGAAAGGAGTATAGTTAGCGCCACGCGCAACAAGGTTTGGTTAACGAAACAACTGAATATTTGGTTGATTTTCGTTAATGCGGATAATTACAAAAATATGAAATAATTTTTTCAATTTTTATTTGCAGGTAGCATTCAGTGAAAGAACAGGATTTTTCGCATAGAGTTTCAACACTTGATATTTAAGGAACTGTTTTTTTTTTCAAGATTAAAACATATGATGCTATATTGCACAGTTACTGATAGTCGGTGGCATTCACCAACTATGGGAAGAAGTTTGAAGTCGTGACATAGCACGCTTTTTCTCACCTCCTTCAAGACCATTACAAATGACTTGAAATTGGTATACATTGCGTATCCGAGTTATTACGGTCATGGGTCAGTGCCATGAGTACAGTTTGCTTTTCATTTCCGCTGTGAAACTGAAAGCTGCTAGGTTAAAGCCTTTGATACGTCTGAAAGAGAAATGAGAATGTTAAAATTATATATTAATGTTAGCTTAACCAAATAGAGGCGATGGTGAATAAGAAGATTAAGCTTCGCCAATATTCTCGGGGAGAAGGAATTGCTTTCACTAAAAATCACCAATTCTGACTTTATATCTGGGTCCGTACCATTTAAGTATCATAAGCTTAACAGTCTTTAAAAGCAGAAATACCTCCCACATATTCCGCCCAGAAATACCTACAGCATAATGGTAGGACTTTAGCAAGATGAAGACACCATTGACATACCATTATATGAGAGATATTTCTGGGAGATATATGTAGGACGCATTTCTGCCGCATCCTATATATATATATATATATATATATATTGTCACCCACAGACAAACTGTTTCACAGCTCATCAGTGTGGCTGGACATCCGATTGCCTCAAGCCGGGAGTGGAGATTCTACTCCTAAGCCACGGCAGGGTTGAAAGAGAATTTAGACGTATTTATTTTTTAGAGAAACACGCCGGTGAATTGGAGAACGCGATTAATCTTAACGAGGAGTCTTGCATCAGCAGCAACAATAGTCACTACAAATTCAAATTCAAATTCAAATTCAATTTTCTCCCCAAGAGCTCAACTGAAATAATTTTTTAGGAGCATGTATATATATATATATATATATATATATATATATATATATATATATATATATATTATCATCCACAGATAGACTGTTTCGATGTTTCACAGCTCATTAATGTGGCTAGACATCCGACTGACTAAAGCCGGGATCGAA